GTTCTTTCCTCATTCCCATTATTTCTTTTGAGATAAATTGTATATTTTTGTATGATTCCATTGGGACTACTTGGAGGAAGGAATGACAGTTCAATCTCTCCAGAGGAAATGTTTTTGTAAGTAATATTTTCTGGTGCACTATCAGGAACTAAAATAAAAATAAAAACAAAAATAAATGCATAAAACAATTCCATTTTAAAAACCTATTCTGCTATTCTGCTGAAGTTCTCATCCAAGTGCACTAGGATGGAGATATAGCAATATGTATACATCTGTCTATCTATCTATCTATCATTTACTTACCTACCTATTTGTGTCTTAGCGTGTGATTGTAATAAATATCCTACATGGAATAAGGTGTTGATAAATTATACATTACAACTGCATAAGAAAAAATTTCATCTCAAAAAAAATTCATACTATGATTTTACAGAATAATGCTTATAAGATGATATTTTTACTAAAATACATGTAACTGTATTAAGTTGTCTTCTACTGAAGAACACACAGATAAAAGAAAGAGTATTGAAAAAGAGTTAAAAATTAATTCTGTCTTTCATTAATTATACATATAATATATATGTATGTAAATATGTATATATATATGGTTAATAATTAGTTTTCGTCTACAAGATCTATGACAAGGTAAGTAATCTTTCCTAAATATAATGCTGCATATTATGACCTGGTAGCAAAACAGAATATCATTAAATATAACACTATTTTTCTGTATCTACTAATGTTCATATTGTATTGAACTCAATGGCCATAAATGGTTCTCTCTATATATTCAAATACTAATACTGCATGTGGGATTCCAATTCTGGCAACATATTGGATTTAATACCCTAAATGGAATGACCATCTTAGTTAAAATAATTAAAACACAGCATAAAATTAAAACAATTTTTTTCTTTTAAGGAATTGCAGAATTAACAAGAAAGTTAAAAATCTATGGTGGCCAAAAAACAAAACAAACACACAAACAACAATAACAAAAAAGTAAAAACAGGTATCCTGAGATGGAAACTGGTACCAAATCCACCTTTGCCTTGGAGATCCTGTATTAATAGTTGTGTGGAATTCCAGAGAAAGCCTTGGACAAGTAGAAGGGTGCGGGATATCCCCAGCATAAAGAGCTGGAATCCCAAATAATGTAGTTTCAACTTGGGCCATTATATTGAACTACTCTAGGGGGACACCTTGAATTCTTCTGCAAAGTGCCATAGAACTCAAACGGGAGTGGTAACTCCTGAACTAGAGCAATGCACTCTCAGGGAATAGGCAGTGAGAAGTAAGCTCACCATGCAAAAGAGGATGGAAAAGAAACATGTTTTTTCTTGCTACTCTTTTAGATAAAGAGGTGGAAAAAAAATTATGCAGTTTTGGACCTGCAAGCCTGTCCCTATGAACCTATGTGGCCCAAACCCATGCTGCTTGTATAGCCTGAAAAAAACTCTACTTCATAATTTAAATTCAAATGAATCTGTAATACTGAGTTGCTATTATTCAAAAGCATCTAGCAGAACATAAATCTCTTCTGGGGNAGCATATTGTAAATATTTGTTGAAAGGATGAACCTCTCAGATCTCAGGTTTCATTAGGGAATGCAGATAATAATACCTTAATGCTTTATTCTAGAATTCAAAGGGCAATTTTTCTAAAAGCCAATAACAGAGCCCATGGCTCTTTGCAGGTGCTTAAAATATGCTTGTTTCTTTCCTTGGCCCATTATAAAATAAAACTAGGTCAGATAAAGAGTAGATGTTTTTCACAAAAATAATTATTTAAGTACATATTTATAAAAGCAATGAAACATGACAGTATATAGTTTAATATAAATTAAGTTTCATTTTAAGGGGTAACTCAATAGAAAACTCTCACTTCATCACTCTCTCCTTCCTGAAATTGCAACCAATGCCATTCTCTATGGGCACTTTTGTGTCATCTCACTTAATTAATTCCTGAGACAAGTTCCAATACAATACTTTTGTTCAAGGGCAAGCTGCTTTACTAGATTCCTAGATCCTCAAGGTCAGTGATGGGGCCTTGCATATAGAGTTGGCTGAGCCATAGGAAGTTGCTGATGCTTGGCCATTATGACCTATAGGAATGGCAATTCCATATGGTTCAGCCAGTAGCTAGTCAATAAATATTTATTTTTTTTAAATGTAAGGGTCAAAGCGTAACTTTAAGTTTAGTTCTTAATTCTCAGTGTATAGTTGGCCTAACAGTGATGTTCTAATATATGATTAGAAACATAATATAAACAATAAACTAAGATCATTATGTAAAATGCCTTGCCTTGGGCTATTTGCTCTTGCTTCACTGAAATTGAAACCCAAGTAACTACTTGCTTGTGTTATTTCCTTTACATGGGATATCCCCTCCCCGCCCACCAACGACCTCTATAAGGTCCTCCTGCCCATTCTACCTGATTCCTTAAGATCCAGGTCAAATGCTATCTCCTCCATCACGCTTCCCCAGGCACGCCCTTTCTNTTTATCACCTGGATGACTGATTTCCTCTTTACCACTCTTAAGAGGTGTCAACATTGATGCAAATGATCAGTTCAATTTCCTATGTATTCTATGTATTCCTTGATCGCCATAATTCCAATAATTTTTCCTTAAGCCCTTCACCTCACCTTAACCATTAGCTTTTATGGCAACACCCAAGACCATTACCAATTACCAATTACCGTCAGTATTCCTATCTTTGGCAACCACCTCCTATCTTTCCAGTTTACTGACTCTTGTACTGCCAATCCAACAATTATTTTACAGTCATCAAATCTTCACAGTCCATCACCTTACATCCTCATCTCCCTACATACTCAGGTCAGAGTCCATAGTCTGTCAGTAAAATCACTCCCTAGCAATCTCCATTAACTCTTTTTTTTCCCCTACCTTACTTTCCTGGCAAAACTCCACCTTGGCTAAAACCAAACTCAGAGCTGGTTCCACATCAGTAATGTAACAGCTGAAAATGTCTGAATAAAACACTATTCCATGCTGACTAACCTCATTTAAATTTATAACCTTAAATCTCAAATGAATCTTTTTCACTGCCTGGCAGCTTATATGTCATTTAGTTAATTCAGTCTCCCACTCTGTTGTGTATATTTTTACCACCTTCTCTCTCAACAAACATCTAATACCACCCCACACTTGACGCTGATAAACTTGCCTGTCATTTCACTGAAAAAATAAAAACATTCAGAAGAGAACTATGTTATCTTCTTACCACCAATTTTCCTTCAGTTGCCTTCTCTCCTTACCCCTTTCCAAGACCTTGCCCTCCACTTCTGCACTGGATTTCATTCCATCTGTCTAGTCAAATGCTTTAGGCTTAAAGCTATTCCCTCTCTGCTGGATTATTAGTTTTCTTTCTTTATTGAATTATTTCTATCATTGTAAACATGTGAGCACACATACATTATATCTATCAGAGTACAAAAGGAAAAAGGACTCTGTTAATTATACTTGCCCTTTCAACCGTGGCTCTATTTGATTCTCCGCTTTATATCAAAATTCCTCAAAATTTGCCTTTACTCATCTTCTCAATTTTCTTACCTATCACCCTCTCTTAGTTCACTTCTGTTAGGAATTTTTCCCCCATAATTTTTTTCCATGAAACCTACTGTTGTGAAGTTATCCACGACCTCCATCTTGGCACACTATTAATCAATTGCACACCTCCTCCATCTTACTTCACTGTTAGCAGCATTTGATATAGGAAATAAATTCTTTCTAGTTGAAAAATCTTTATTCACTTGCCTTCCAAAACACAATCTTCTCCTGATTTTTTTTCTACCTCACTGGCCACTTCTGCTTAGTGCTTGACTGGCTCCTCCTTTACTTCCCAAGGTCATATTGCCGCAGAATATATTAGTATGCTTCTTTTCCTCTCTACTACACTCACCCTGAATGTGACTCCATCTCGTCCCTTGATTTTGAATATCAGAGATATGGCAATGCCTCCAAATTATGTATTCAACCCTGGATCCTTTCCATGACTTTCAAACATATATCCAACTGCCTTCATGACAGGCACTTGGATATTTCAAACTTGTTCAAAATAAAACTCCTGAATTCCTCCAAATTGATGTCTTGCACAACTTCCCCATCTCAGTAAATGGTACTATATATTCACCCGATACTCAGACAAAAAACCTAGTAGTTAATCTTGATTTACCTCTTTACTCCCAAATCTGACATATTCAGCAGCAGTCTTCCAAAACTGCAAATCATACCATGTTCTTGTCTCATAATTTTCTAATAGCTTCCCATTAAAATTAAACTCCAAACTTTTTACATTGGCACCCAACAATCTTCATGGTCCATCTCTGTCTCTTCTCATCTGCTAATTCACTCCCCATAAAAAACACTGCTTGGGTGACAGAAGTGCTCTGTTCTTCCTCAACTATATAAAATGTCTTCTCACTTCAGGAACTTACCAATTGCTATCCCTCCTTCTGAAACACTTATCTTCCTTATCCTCATCTAATTTAATCCCATGTATTTTAATATCCCTGGGCTTATGTAACACCCTCAGAGAGGCCTTTTCTCAGTCCTCCATCTCAAATAGCGGTTCACTACTCTTCTTTCTCTCACATTTTTTTCTTCATAGAATTTGCCACCACCCAAAGTCGTATATATTATTAGTTTACTGGCTTACTTTCTGTGGTCCTTCTAGAATTTTAAGTTCCCAGAGGTAGAAATTTTGTCTTATTTACTGTTGTATTCACAGTGCCTGCTAGAATGGTAGCACCTGATATGGAATCCATAAAAATCTGTTCAGTGAATTTATAACTATGTTCAACATGATATAGAATATATTAAAAACAAGAGAGAAAATCACAGCTCAGGGAAAGAAGTAAAATTGAATTGAATAGCTCTTGAGTTATAAGGAAAAAAAGGAATTGGTCATGCCGTGCTTGAATTTTATAACTCAGTATAACTTCTAATTTTGAAAAATTCTCATTGGTATTTTCAAAATGGCCCCTATGGAGTTGCCTGCCCATCACCAGTAGTCAGGGTATAAATGCATCCCTGTCTCAGGCTGATATCTCTGCATTTTTATTCACTTATCCTTAGGGGATAACCTGTGCTGGGTCTTCAGGGAAAATAAAGCAAGACCAACTTGATGACTAACTTTAGAGAGTGATGATACACAGAGTTTTCTAAAATAGCATAGTGTTTCTTGTTGTGGAAGTAGTGTAAAACAGATAATTTAGGAATAAAAACTAATTGTTATAGTTAGTGGGAATAAGCTGAATCTATGTAAAAACTAAAAATAAATAATTTCATCCATAATGATAATAAAATAGGATATAGGAAGTTACCTTCTTTATGCCAAAAGATTGTTGTTTGGCATACATAGTTTTAATGTTATGTAGATAAATTAAGAAATACAATTAATTGATATAAATTTATAGAGTCCTACACTAAATTTTGGTCAACATCTAAGTTACTATCCTCTAGTGGCTGTTGCCCAAAATCAGACATATTAAAGGCATTTGGTTAAAGGCCTACTGTAAAGAAAGTTATGTGTTAAAATGGAAAAAGAGTATATATAGATCACCAAAGGGTAATTTGTATGAGAACTTAAAGTTCTTTATGTGATGATTGTACTCTAAGTATAAGAAAATATAAATTAATCTCAAATCTATTTGCCAACTACACATTCTACACTTAAAGCAAATATAGACACACACATACACACACACACACACACACACTCATGAGATCACTCCTGTATTGAACTTTCCTTCTTGAACACGAGAGTACAGTATTTTACTTCCAATCATTAGTAAACTCTTATTCCCCATTCAAAATAAAACATTTGAACAAATACTTTACTCCTATTTGTAACCAGCAGCATTAACACATTACCAAGTTAGCACAATTCTCAATTTATCATGAAACGTATTGAAAAGCGAGCTCTTGTTTTTTATATAAGAGTAGAAGATGAATTTACCATATTTAATAATATTGAACCCTGGGAACAGATAGTCATTCTTTAGTACATCCTGCCTCAAGTAACACCTTGATACTCAGAAGTCTAGCTTCCTCTTTTGCCAAAAAGAGCTAAATTGTTAGCTTAACAGTAGTGAAAAAATTTAGGAAAAGTCACTAATGTAGATTCCATGGACCACCATGTCCATCCAGATGGAGAAAGCACAGACCTTGAGACCTAATTTAGGACAGAGAGCTGGAAAATAGGAATATGAGCATTGAACTCTATGACCTATTATTAGGCCTCTTATGCTTCTGAAGAGTTTAGTGTAAACATGATCCAATTATATTCACCCAAATGCATGAGCTAGTGAACTCTGGCATAA